AAAGCATGTTGAAAATCCGAAATGAGCTTCGGGAGAACTTGCTTGATCCTGTTTACCATACACTTAGAAACACATTTGTAGATGGTATTACATAGGCTAATGGGTCTAAGGTGTCCCTCCTCCTCCGGATTTTAAAATTTCGGTAACATTACCAGAATAGATTGATTCCACGACTTCAAAAGAAAACCTTTGTTGAAAAAACTCATAATTCCCTTAACTATTGACGGTCCAACAATATCCCAATGTTGTTTAAAGAACTCCGCATTGTACCCATCTGGACCCAGAGACTTATCATTTTTAACATCAAACATTGCATATTTAATTTCATCCGGGGTAATTCCTTTCTCAAAAATTCTTTGGTCATCAATACTCAAATCTGGATAATCCAACTCTCGTAGTACAAAATCAATCTCATCATTTCCATCCCCTATAATTTTCGGATCATACACATCTTGTAAATAGTCCACTACAAAAGTAACAACTTTATCATTCCCCTCCAACCAAGCCCCATGTTGATCCTTTAGCATGTAATTCTCATTATTCTTTTGTCGTTGTTTGACTTAGAATACATAATTTTGAAGGAATATCACCCTTTTTTACCCATTCTTGTTAAGTCTTTGCTTCCAGCATAAAAAATCAATATCAATCTTGTTAATATTATTTTGAAGCAAATTAATAAACTTGGTACCTTCATCAATGGTTTTAATCCTCTCTGCCTCGTTTGTAAGAGTTTCTGTGTAGCTACTCCAATTAATCCCCCCAGAATTTTTTATATTGCAAGCACCAATTTCGGAGTAAAGGTCGGAGACGCTCCATATTCTTTGTGATAACAAACATATGAGATCCAGTAATATTAGTCTGCCAAGATCCTCTAATTATTTTTGCAATCTCCTCAAGCTTTAGGCACCAATTCTCCACTTGATAAGGACGTCTTATTGCAATATGACCATAATTAGCATCATAATAAATTGCTCCATGATCCGAGAAAGTAAAAGGTTGATGAAGTAGACGACCATTCGGGTATTTAGCTAACCAAACATTATCCACATAAGCTTTATCAATACGTTCCATCACAAGAGTATGATCATGTCTTTTATTCGTCCAAGTGAACTTTGGACCGATATAATTAACTTCCACAAGTTGAGATTCAAAACGCCAATCCATAAATTTGCCCCACCCTTTGATAGTACTAGTACCCCCAAGTTTATCAAAGGAATTGTCAACTTGGTTAAAATCACCAATATACACTTGGGATTAAGCTTAAGCAAAGTAAGAAGAAAAGACCAAACATCCTCTCTATCTTCAACTAGAGGAGCACCGTAAACAAAAAGGACATTCCCATTACTACTATTAGGCTCTACAACATTACAAACTACAATATTTTTTGAAGCAAAAGAACAAGAAACATTAGAAGAACCCCAACCTAAAACTAGCAGCCCACCACTAGCCCCATCCGAATCATAACCAAAAACAAAATTTGGTGCACTAGATTTAAAAATAGTAGCACCTTTGTGGACTGACATCTTAGTTTCCGAAAGAAAAATAAACATAGGCATAAACTTTTTTTTGAGCCATCAAACATAAGATTGTTTATGTTGTAAAATTGGTGTCTAAAACAAAAGCAACAATAAAACAAGAACAAAAATAAGAGAAGGAAATTCGGTGTGGCGTGAATAATCACTGCCTTTGAAAACGAATTCCGGCGCAACCGGAGTGCTCAATTGTATTCGCCGGATCGTTCCCTAAGATTACACACTACTCTCACGCTAAGGCACTTTAGAATGAGAGGTGGAGATTACGCAAACTTATGCCCAAAGAGAAATAGAGTTGTGTTTAGCTTAATGTGTTTTGGCTACTTGTGAATGAGTTTTCTTATACCTCACATCAGATTTTCTGATCACAAATATATAGAACAACAAGGGAAGATGGAAGATCGAGAGGAAGTGAAGAGGTAGAAAGAATAAAATAAAACATGTGTTTTAATCATCATAAAACACCTCTTAAGTGAGGGGTTACAAGTGATTGAAGAAGAAAAGAATCCAAGGAAGCTAGGCAACCCAACAGCCGAACCCGCGCTCGGTCGAACGGAGCTTCGTCCAGTCGGGCGAGCATCCAGCCAAAAGATTGGTTGCTCTCGCACCCGGTCGGGCGAACACATCTTCATTTTCCAAGCGTCCTCTCGTGCCCGATCGGGCGACGGAACTTAGGAACTACGACCCTTCTCGCGCCCGGTCGGGCGGAGCTTTGCCCAGTCGGGCGCCCGGGTCAGGCTATTTTGGATTCCTTCCTTTATTCCAACAGTTTAGGGGATCCGGCATCATTCATACCCCTACAATTCCATGCAATCAGCTTCATAACTTGTTTGGGAGCTGTGAAGACCAGCATCTACACTCCTAGAGTAACATCCAAGTGAGACTTTTAGGTTGAGAGTGTAAGAATTTCCTTCACAATCATCACACTGCATTTCATCCGCATCTGAAGAGCTACTGTCATTATTTTTACCCTTCTTTGCTTTCTTCGAAAATAGTGAAGGAGATTTCCTTTTCTGAGCAAGCAAGGAAGAAACCTCCTCCCCTATTTCAACGTCCAGATCACGTGCCATATCAACATCAGAGATCGCTTTTGAGTACAAGATCGTACCCTCTTCTTTCCACATGTTAAAGCCTCCTTTTTCCTGTAACTCTAGAAGTCGCACTTTCCTTCTTTTGAAACCCCAATCAGTAGTCACAAATTCGTTTTCATGAATATTTCCAGTCGAACGGGCCCTGGGTAAAGTCGAATTAGGTACTCGTTTTCTTGCCCAAGTTACTCGTTCGTTATAATCTGGAAAACTGAAGTCAGTCTCAACACATGAAATATCAGAGTCCGAGAAAGAGAAATCCGAGCTTGGTGAATTCGGTGGAGTTCCTCTATTTTCTGGTGGAGCAGGGCTAATTGCCAAATTCCCAGCAAAACTAACATTATATTGATAATTTTGGGTTATAGGAATATCAATATTAGGATGTACCTTCGACCTTGTGTTTTTACGCTTAAAAAGCTTGCAGAAGCGTTGAAACGCCTTTAAAGGTCGACGAATAGCGCTCTGTCTAACAGGTAGCAAATCATAAATTCTCGGACCCTGAGGCAATTGAGCTTGCGGAATTTGATAATACGCCCCTGCATGTTTTTCTTCTGGGATCTGATTGCGAGTGACCATAGCAGTAGGAGGTGGTGCAGCATTTATACTCAACTGTTGCATTGGAATATCTTCAAATAACCCTGTACTTTTCGGCATCTCAAACGGCCCAGGTACAAGAGGCTGCTGCACCTCTTCACTACCCCCAAAAGAGAATGGGTTTGATTGGCCTATTCTTCTATTTGGAGGGTTTGAAAAAGAGTGGGCTGGATGGCAACCGTGACTGGGGTACTCAGCTGATTAATCAAGTTCTGACTTGATTCTCCTTGCTCAAAGTTCCAAGATCTACTACCTGCTGGCCCATCATCAGTTGGGCTATCATCCTGCATGACAACCTTCAACTTCTTATCAGTTGGTGAAGAAATAAAAAGCTGGTTACCTCGATTATTATCTTCAACTGGAAAATCTGAAGGATAATACACAGCATACGGATCTTGACCCAATCCAAACCTAGTGCCTGGTGAGAGGAAAGCAGAGGGTTGAAGCGCATCATGCACCGTAGGATCATCACCATAGAAATCATCCGGATCATGTTCACCTTCAATCACCCTATCTTCTGATGGCATCACATCATCATCCGAATCATTCCCTTCCTCCTCATCTTGAGTAAAATCCTCTCTAGCAGGATGAAAATTAGGCTCATCATCATCATCATTATCTTCGTTCCCACCCGGAACATAGTCCGGCCCATCATCAATTTCTGCTAGCAAGTTGAGAGGTGTATTTCGGTATCGGAATCGACCAGGTAATCCCTGTATCATATTCGAATAATATGGGATCGAAGTAGGGCCATACAACACCCTCATACCCTCCCTTTCACACTGAGCCAATCGATTTCTCAAGATATTCCAATGCAATTTCTTTTTGAGGTAGAAAGAGAATGGAGTTTGTAATATTGTACTTGAAGTTGAGATATATATCCCCATAATTACCAATATGCGATTATTAGTGCCTAATTGCAAGCCATTAAATCTTGTTTCTTTAATGGCCTAGATTTATTCTCACATATAACTTGTACAAGTCTACATAATATATATATATATCTCGTGTACTTTGTAGTTTTATGTAGACTTGTACACCGATCCATAGTCTTATGTTGTTACGGGAAGTTGCATACATTTAACACCCTTGTTCTCTTTTCCACGCAAAACGATGCACATGAAATAAGGCTTTCTTTGAAGACATAGGTAAAAGTCCTTCTTTAAAGATACCGGTGCAATGTTGTTGTTACATGAATCAGATTGGATCGAAATAGCTTCACATGTATAACAAGGTAGCCAGATATAAACATTACCAACCAAATAAATTCTATTAGTATGCAGGTTTATGCACATCTGTGTTATGATCCATTGTGATACACATTTACTCCATGTGTCCAGGACTCCTTGTTTCTGTATTGATCAAAGTCATTTCCAATGTTTTCATTTTTTTTTTTTAAAGTTAAAGTAGTCTCGAGTATGGGAAGAATTGAAGAACTTGTGGAAATTAGCAGGGCTTGCTATTTTAATGGCAGTTTCTCAGTACTCCATAGATTTCGCAACAGCCGCATACGTTGGGCATTTGAGTACTCTTGAGCTGTGTCTACGGCCTGATGGTACGTATTTTTTTTTTTTTTTAAATTTAATTGCAAATTATATAGAGCTATAATTACTCTAATTCAAAATTATCAAGTTCCGAAATTCAAGCAATAATACACAATCAATTCATTAGAATTGGAAAAAATAAAAATAAAAAATAAACACCAAAAGAACACTTTAAAATAATTGCCAGCTTACTGGACTACTGTCTACTAGTCACCAACAAAGCATGCAATTAAACCCCACTATTTTCAGAAAATTTCACTTAAATTTCCTGGTTAAATCAAATTACCAAATTAATTTGAATTTACTCTTTTAGGATCTTACGGTAAATTGATCAAAAAAGAAAACATGCATGCAAACATCACATCTCGATTTGTCACCAAGAGTATATATTATCACCTCTCCTCGCCACGTACCAGATCCTGATGCACACCCCACCGCCTAATCCCCAACTGCAGCTCAGCGGCCGCGATCAAAAACTCGGCTGCTTGCTGCGGTGTCAAAAGCTCCACCACCTGCCGTAACGTCTTCATCCTCAATTCATCCGCCTTAGCCACCACGGAACCAAGCCTAGCAACCAAACGGTTCAGCCCGTCAGGCCCGTTTCCACAAAGCCCGGACCATTCGGGCTCGGACCGGGCCACCTCCTCCTGCCACCCACCTAACTCATTCCCAATCTCGTTCTCTTCTTTGACGGTCAAACACTGAAGCTCGCTAACCCGGGCCAGTTGGGCCGGAGTGAGCTCCCCTAAGTCCCCCGTGCGGCGACCCTGTAGGATGTCCGCTACATGGGACTCAAACCTAATACTAGACTCGGTATAAACAAGGTGGAAAAGGGTGGTGGGACGAAAGCCGGCCACCCAATAAAGGGACCGCTCTAGGGTGGTTGCCCATGCAGCGGCAAATAAAGGGAGGGCATCGGTACGTGCCTCATTGATCTTAGTTTGGTAGTAGAAGACGTAATGAGCGACTACCTCATCGACGAGTTGTCGAACATGTTCATGCTCTGAGGTAGAGTTGGGGCGTGGTGTTGGGGTGCTAGCGAGCTCGGCTGTGAATTTGTTGAGTTTTTCCGCCCATGAATCATGAAAGCGGTGGAAGTTCGTCATTTTGATATAGTGATATGTTTTGAGGGGAAAATAATACAATTATACAAGTAATAAAGAGAATGTATGTGATGACATGAAAAATTTAAGGAAAAAGTTGAGTTGTAAGATGACACTTGGGACATAGCATGCTTGAAACGTGGATATTTAAGGACATTGATTAGTAGACAGTTCTCAATAATCTATACCATATTCTACCCTTGTATCTATACTTCTGTATAAATTCTGAATATGGCTAAAGCGCTGTTCGATGAGCCTGCGGGAAAACTTGGTTAGTTGGTTACTGTTGTTGAATTTGAATAGTGAGATGACCTCTTTACTGTTTTGTTCCACGTCATCAATTTAGCAAAGTGTATGCTTGTGCCTTCTTCCAGCTTCTTTTTCTGGATGTTATTATAGCGGTAATTTAAAATATAACTATTTTATTATTTTAATGATGAATAATATTACGGTTTTTTCACTATATACCCCTGATTAATTAATTTGTTAATTCATCATATACCCATGAAACTTTTTAAATTCACCGTATATCCCTGAGTTTAACAAAAATGTCCCCAAATGCCCTTAATGACTATGGCGTTAATCTCCGTTAATCATTAAGGTTAAGTATGTCACGTGGCATAATCTGTTTGGTTGTTTTTTAAATCTATTTAATTAATTATTAAAAAAAAAAAAAAAAAAAAAAAAAAAAAAAAAAAAAAAAACATCCTACAGCCACCCTCCCCACCATGGGCGGACCCATTAATCCCTCTTAGGGAGCATTTGCATCCCATTTTGTAAAAAAAATACAAATTAAGTCTATAGGCCCAAATTCGTTTTAAAAAAAAGCCCAAAAATATGGACCACATTCCAAATATCCATATATTATTTGTTGACAAACTCCTACTGCTCTTATTCTCACATGTCACGTGAAGATAGGAAAGCAAGTGTTTTTATTTTATTTTTTATTTTTAAATGTTTGGTTGGTTACTCACGTGAACCTCTTCTCTCACAACCCCTTTTTTGATTTTCTCTCCAAGTCTCCTTTTTTTATGACTCAAACGCAAAGGCCTCAAACTATTATAGCTTTACTTTGTGCATTTGATTGATTGAGATTGTATACTTTATAGTACTAGAGTGAGTGCTTGACTTAGGTAATCGATTGATTTTAGATTTAATTTACTACATCTGTTTAATATTATTTACAATAAATGAATAATTTATGTCTCATAAATATTACACTTGGTCGCAAATAATATGAAACAAGGGTAACATATAAAATAGACTAGTTGTTTCTGATTATTTAAAGTATTCTACTTTTTTATTAGTGAGAAGATGGTTGTTGAAAGAAAAAAGAACAGAACTTTGGATTAGTTTGTTCAAAAATCCAAAAAAAAAAAAATTAATTATTTCGTACGTTGGTATGATTAAGTTGGAAAACATTTTGAACCCCCATTTATAAATTTCTGGATCCGCCTGATGCGTATCCAAGGCATCAATATTATCATTTTATTATTTTTATTTATTTTTATTGAGTCGTCTATTAATCATGAAGTTGAGTGGCGTCAATCCTAAAGTTACGCGTGATTAATCGAATTAGAATTGGATTAGAATTAGTAGTTTGATAAGATATTATTTTCTAATAGTATTAGAAGATAAATTTTGTTATTTAGGATTAGTATTTAGTATTTATATCTTATATATTTTATTTTATCTTTTAGTTATCCTAACGGCATGGGATGTTTGCCTATAAATATTGTTTTTTTCATTAATGAAGGCATAGAAGTTTTGAGTTATAATTGATCAATTCGTATGAATTGTTTTAGCAAGAGAATTGCATATGATATTTTGCTGAGAAAGCTACCAATTTAGTTGTTATTTAGTCTTGGTTAGATTAAATAGCTTCATATTCCGAATTTCCCAAAGATCCCATAAAAATACGCATCAAATTGGTGTGGCTGCTGCTACTGCTGTTAGGCGAGGGAAACTGTGCACTTCTTGAAGTTTCGTGCACAATTTTTTTGAAATCGGGCCTAATAAAACTCAGTTTCGTAGGTCAGATTGTTTGGCTTTGTTCTCCTTTGTTTCTAAAGATTTTGAGGTGATTCTTTTTTCAAATTGGTTAACTTTTTGTCTAGTTTTTACCTGAAAATTTGAGAATTTTTCAAGGAGCGTAGATATTAAACTGGATTCGTTTTTGGAAACTGGTCAAAAATCGAGCTAAATCTGGCAGTGTTGAGAAAAAAATAAACTGCAACCACTTGGATTGGAATTTTTGGCTTATTTTTTGGTAGAGTATTGTAGACATATAGAGCTAGCATCATACAAAATTTCAGAATTTTTTGAGGTGTTTTGATTGGATTTTTGTCCTCGAACGTTCGATCAATTTATGGACTGGTTTTGTGTGTTTTCTTATTCACTTAAACATGGTGAATCAAGCTGAATTTGCGGCATTGTTGGATGAGCTCAAGAAAATTAATCCTCGATTGGATAAGTCGGAAGAAGTTACTGCGACACTCCAGCAAGAACTACATAACCGTGACTTTACTCCGCACACACGCAATCACACAGTTGAAGAGATTAAACTTGCTGATTTGCCCACTTTTGAAGGCGATAGAGACCCGGAAACTTATCTTGATTGGGAACGAAGGTTAGACCGTCTCTTTAGGTACAAGAACCTAGATAACACTAAGAGGTTTAACTATGCTATCCTCAAACTGACCAAGTATGCATCTCTTTGGTTCGAATCCTTTCAACACCAACGGGAACGAGATGGGAAAGCACAACTTACAACTTGGACTTAATTAAAGCAAAAGATGAAGAAGATCGCATAAGCAAGACTTGTTTTTAAGGCTAAACTCTTTGCAACAAGGGTACATGACAATTGATAATTATATCAAAGAATTCGAGAAGTTATATATAGCATGTGATTGTAAGGATGAGGAGGAACAAAAAATTGCTAAATTTATTCTTGGCCTCAATACTAGCCTGTGTTTTAAGGTCGAATTGCAGCCCCTAACTACCTTCGATGACGTTTTCTCATTGGCTATGAAGTTGGAAAAACAGAACAAGGGGAAGAGTTCCGTTTTTGGGCAATTTTCAGCACCAAAAGCTGAGCATACTGCTGCCCCTGCTGCCCACGAAACTGAACAGCAAACTGCCCCCAAAGACGACACCATGGCTGCCTTAAAAAGCAAACTTGAAAAAGCTCCACTCTCGCAGCAACCAACGAGGAAGATAGTATGTTTTCGTTGCCAAGGTTTGGGTCGTGTTGCCAAACAATGCCCCAATCGATCTATGGTTACACGGGAGGAATTTTATACGTTTAACAACCTTTGAACGATATTACATCGTCGGATTTTTGGGAAACTCAACCACGATGAACTCTGGAAGATGAGGGACATGCTTTGGTCTTGCGGCGTTCTTTGATTTCCGCTCCGGAGGATGGTTTCGACACTCAAAGGTGTAATCTCTTCCACTCAAATTGTCTTGTTAAGGATAAAGTGTGCTCTTTTATCATTGATAGTGGAAGTTGCACTAATGTGTGTGCTCTAAATTTGGCCGAATCTTTGCAATTACCTATGCGTAAACAACCTCATGCTTACAAATTAAATTGGTTAAATGACGATGGAGGCGTTTGGGTTCGAAAGCAAGCATTAGTTAGTTTTAAAGTGGGAAGTTATACGAATGAAATGTGGTTCGACGCGATTCCTATGACTGCTTGTGCTCTCCTTTTAGGCCGTCCATGGCAAACTGATCGTCATGTCATCCACAATGGCAAGACAAATGAGTATTCTGTGCTTATGGGGTATAAACGGTTGCTCCTCCAACCTTTACCACCAAGAAGGCAGTCACCTACATCTACACAAGAGAGTTCTAATAATCATGTATGATTGAGTTCTTGCCGTGACGAGGTGCTTGATACTACCACCACTAAGAAAGATCGACGCTACCAAGTACTACAATTGAGGAAGGGTACAACATTGGATGTTGGTGATCGAGTTTGGTTGTCACTTACGGCTCAAAGGCTTCACGTGAATCACAAAGATGGTGAGCCTATGGATGAGGGTCCGTTCCAAATCATTGATAAGGTGGGGTATGAAACATTCAAGGTCCTATTGGGTGATGGAGTATGTGCTACTTTTTCTTCATGCGACCTAGTTCCATGTTTACCCGATGAAACTTGAGGTCAAGTTTTTTCAAGAGGGGGAGTATGATGCATATCCAAGGCATCAATATTATCATTTTATTATTTTTATTTATTTTTATTGAGTCGTCTATTAATCATGAGGTTAAGTGGCGTCAATCCTAAAGTTACGCGTGATTAATCGAATTAGAATTGGAGTAGAATTAGTAGTTTGATAAGATATAATTTTCTAATATTATTAGAAGATAAATTTTGTTATTTAGGATTAGTATTTAGTATTTATAGCTTATATATTTTATTTTATCTTTTAGTTATTCTAACGACATGGGATATTTGCCTATAAATATTCTTTATTTTCATTAATGAAGGCAGAGAAGTTTTGAGTTTAATTGATCAATTCGTATGGGAATTGTTTTAGCAAGAGAATTGCATATGATATTTTGCTGAGAAAGCTACCAATTTAGTTGTTATTTAGTCTTGGTTAGATTAAATAGCTTAATATCCCCAAATTTCCCGAAGAGCCCATAAAAATACGCATCACCGCCAATACTCCCCACCCCACCACCCCCTCCACTACGCCGACTAACTCAGTCGCCTATCCCCCACTGCCATCTCCACCACCTCCCCCCCGAAATAACATGCTGAAACCCTAAAACCAAAATCTAGGGTTTCAATTTTGGGGTTTTAGGGTTTTGGGGTGGTGGTTTTCAAGTAAGGTGGGTATCAGCGAGGTAGGGATGGTGGTTTAGGCCACCAGCGAAAGGGTTTCGGGGTGGTAGTTTTTGGCTACGGTGGAAAGGCTAGTGGGGGAGGGGTTTTGTAAGGGTTAAAGGCGAGAAAGAGGGGGAAATCGGGTTGGGGTATGGTGGTTCAAGGGAAGGGAGTGGGCATCGTTGCGGGGCTGGGTGAG